AATGGATACAGATACCTCCACGCATCGGGTTCCCGGCGTGTCAATGGGCAATGGACGACATTGACTCCAACAGCTTCAGCCGCAGGCTCAGGTTCAGGTTCACTTTGTGTTTACTGTGATCAATGCATTCCGACGAAGTCGAGGTGACGCGGTACGCCGATCACTTGCTCTGCCTCTCGCTCGTTTTCCGCATCTCTGCGTACGATCTCACCTTATCCTAATACGCCCACCCACGCTTCCCTTTGCGTCTGCGTATCAAATAAGACTCGGGACTCGTTCGGAACTCGATAGGGAGTCGCAGGCGCCTCTGCTAATCTATGCTGTGTATCGCTGTGCCGTACAATTCCTCATCGTGTCTAGTCTTCCCACACGTATACTTCCCATCAACCTACCATATGAACAGAGAGCACTATTCTATGGCCAGAGGCGGTGTACAGGATAGGTACAGGTGCAATTGTATGGAGGGGCACATACAGCCGTACAGGACAATACACCATACACCATACCATCCGCCGTACCCCCGTAATACCATGCGTTCAATACAGTATGCACCAAATAGGTGGTTAGGCGCGCTTTATCCCCTTCCTTCCTCCTCCCTTCTTCCGAGCCGTCGTCTCCCTCTTTGTCTCCCCTTCTCCTCGTCTCCTCGGCCATTTAGATAATTGTACCAAGTACGATGACGTCGATGATCTCTTGTATCTGTACGGCAAAGCTTTGCGTCCATTTCAAGTCGTACTCGAATTTGCAATTGGTCGATGCAGATGATAGTCATATTGTCATATTCGGCAAGCACAAAGCTAAACGGAGGGGCAAGCGGAGAAGGAAGAGTCGCCTGAGGAATGTTAATGCACCCGTATCCGTATCTGTATCTGCAAGGCCTGCCTAAACATAGCGCGAGAGTTGACAGAGATAGGAAGTCCTAGGGACAGGGATAATTGAATCCATCGCCTCACCGCCTCGCCTCGCCTCGCCGCTTCGTCTGTCGTGCTTCCATTGCTATTGGAATTGGACGCCCAGCGCCCGCGTATCATGGTATGTACACGCGTAGCACCGTACGCACGCGCGTGCTCTCCTGGCTCCATATACCCCATTATGAATACCATTACAACATACACATACAAGGAAGGGCGAAAGGGAGGAACGAAAGGAAGGAAGGAAGGCAGGAGGGGAGAGCTTGGAAGGTTCTCTGGCGGCTGGCTGTGCACAGCATCCATACCCATACCCATACCCATACCCATATCCTATGCATATCCGTTGGCGTTGGCGTTACGGCGCAGGATTCCTGCCACTAGGCGAGGCGCGGGCGTCCCTTCCCCTTCTCCACACTGGCACCCCGGAAATGGTCAAATGAAGCACGATGGTGCGGTGGCAGCATGCTATGTCCGTGAGCCGCTCCACCCTCGTCCTCGTCCTCTCCATACTCTGGCAGTCTATTCTGGACAATCGCAGCCGACCTCCAGAACTTGTTAGTAAGTACGTTACTTGCGTGTTGCTGGTTGTTGTAATTAAGGAACCAAGGTTCTCGAGCAGCGGCCTCCTGCGGCCTACAGCGCAGGCCATGGCATAGTTCATTCCGCACGTCGACTGTGCGTATCGGCCAAGGTGGGGAGGTACACGTATGGGTGCCGAGCGGCCTCCCCTCCCCGCCTCCTCCTCCTCCTCCTCCCATCATCCCCTCCCGCTCGTGCACAGTGGCGTGGTGCAACGGAAGGACGGAAACGCGGTAGCACGGTTCGGGTTCTGAAGATCTGACCAGTTAGTATGCTGCATGCCGATTACTCAACGTTCGAGCTTTGTAACAAAGTTGTAAACGTCCGTAGTCCGTAGTCCGTAGTCCGTGGTATGATCACGCCCATGGAGAATTTATCGAGCGTATACGTATGACGAGGTTCGAGACTTGCAAGTATAGCGCTGTAACGTCGTCAGAATGCAGATGCCATTTGCATAGCCCGCACCTGCACCCGGGCTCGTCCTCGCACTCGTGCTCGTACTATTTTCACCGGCAGTTCCATGGGGGAAACCACCTTCGAGCATCTAGTGCGCCTATTGCTATCGCTATCGCGCAATCCGAGAACGTCGAAGCTCGAAGCTCGAAGCTAAAGGCGATCCAAAGGCGCAAGCGCAGGCGCAACGCAAGGTGATTGGAGTCTTGGAGAGCATCTCCGACCGAGTCAGACTCAGGGATTTAGGATGTTAGGAGGAATTAGGAGTGCTTGGTATGTGTTTCAGGAGATAGCATTACGTTAGTTAGGCGAGGAGGCGTGTATACGTATCCTCCGGGTACCCCATGGGCCCACACGCCCACCCAATCCCTCTGTGCTATCTGCGCTGCCTGTAGAGAGTGCGCGTACGAGGTACTTAGGAGGATATACCCATTTACCGCCTCGAGCTGGAGAGCTGAGAGCTGGAGCGCCGCCAGTGATTGCCACTGCCGCTGATCCACAATGGTCAATGGTCAGTCGTCGATCATACATACATATATCGTACAGCAATTCATCGGCGTCCCCGACTCGGAGTCTAATCCGGGTGAATGAGGTGGTGTGGTGGTGTATGATCATGGTCGTATCTGGCAGTATACGGTATGGGTATGTGGGCTGTGTGGTGTGGTGGGACTGTGGGGGCGATAATGAGTACGAGTTAGTATGCGGCTGGCCGGGATGAGGCTCTTCGAAACGTTTCAGCTCTTGTTCTTTCCCTCCATCTCCATCTCCTTCCCTCTTCTTTTTCGCGCTTGTTCTCGTCTTAGGGTAAATCCAACTTCTAAGCGGCTCAGCCACCGCCCACCGCGTGTCGACACATACACACACTGGCTGAATCCTGATACGCCGCTGCCTGTAATGACAATCCAGAACATTTCTGGGTCTCTGCTTCCAATCTACCTCAAGTTTTACTTTCCCCAAGCTCACTGTAGCCAGTATGACAAGTAAAAACACCTGTGACCTGTCGCACCCCGTAAAGCAAGGCAAGGTTCTCCCGGTTTCTTTTTTGGTGTTCCAAGTGTTCAGCCACCGGATAGTATCGACATTCTACTAATACATTATTGATGCACTGATACGCATACCATACTATGCGCCGCTCGCTATCTCTCACTGTCTCTGACGACCTCCGTGAATAAGTTAGCCAACCTCTCCTGCCCAGTTTTCCTTGCTGCAAGCTTGATACCCAAAAAGCTGCTCAGCCACCGCGTCCGTATATCAATATCGACATAAACTGATACACATACGCCGCTACCTATCCCTATCTAATCTAAACACTCCCCCATACTAGCGCCATGACAAGGACAAGGAATCTCCACCGTTTGTTCGCGAGCCCGGAAGTTGTATTCGCAGTCAGGGGTCCCCTGGCGAGTTACTAGTTACTAGCTACTCGGTTGTTTTGTTTTCGGCATTCGCGTTTCAGCCTTTTCTCTTTCTCCCTTCCCTTCACGTCCACTTTCATGGCACGTTTTCTCGAGTCCTTTCTCCGCATACGCCGCTGCCAATCGCTGCCACTCTCATCGGAGTCTCTACAAGTCTCGAGGGCTACATTTGATTTGATACCTGCCTCTTCGCTTCTAGTTCCAGTAATCCTTGTTGATTGTGTAGGGCCCCCTTTCTTCGCTTAGTCTAAGAGCCAAAAGCAGGAGAGAGCGAGAGTAAGGACTAGTAAGAAGCTCAGCTGGTATACTCGCATACCGAACTGATACGCCCGTACGCCGACAAAAGCACCAGAGTCAGGAGTCCCCTGTTTTCCTTACGTTGTTTTGCCCTTTTGCCTCACCCCGCCTCGTGTCCTCCCGTCTTCCAAGCGTTTCAGACATAAGCTTTCCCTCTTCTAACCTTCTTCAATTTTCTATGTCATCATCTCTCCTCCATCTCGAACCTAACAAACGCAACCTAAAAATCCCGTTCTCCGTCTTTTGCGTGTTTCGCGTTTCACCCCCTAGCTCCCTGCCCCTCGTTCATTTACCTCACGCGACCGCACTCGCACTCGCACTTTTTGCGGTCGCATGGGTAACAGTATGGGTAATAGTACGCGCGTGGCTGTGACGTATGTCGAGTAACGAGTATTGATATTAATGAGTGATGGGGAGACGGGAGACGGTGGAGGGATCGACACACGGAGGACGGACGTTTGGACGTTTGGGTTCGGGCGATCTTCCGTCAAACATTAGCTCTAAGTGTCCGTCGAGTGATCTCCGTACCTCCGTACTTCTCCATAGTCGGTCGTTGTGCTCGTAGGTTGACAATCTAATCTTCACCTTTCATTTCTTCATTTCTTATCATTCCTTTTCTTTCATCCTCTTCCTTTCCCTCATCCTCACGTCCACGCCAAAAACGAGTTCAGTATCGATATCGACCCAGCGGTCTTTTGCCATTCATTCATTCAATAAATACGATATATAAATCACATCACAAATCAGGTAATCGGTAATCGGTAATCAGGTACTACAATCACAAGTAAACGAGTCAACGAGTAAACGGGTCGGTGAATCACTACATCTCTTGTCGGTATCGGTGTCGGTGGAGTGTCAGTATGGACATATGGACATATGTATGAGTACGGGAGACGGGATGGGAAGAGGGGAAGAGAGGAAGATGGGGTGGGAAGATGGGGAAGAGAGGAAGGGAATAAACATAGGCAAAAGCAAAAAGCAAAAAAACGGAACGAAGAGTAATGTTATGTACAAGTCGCCTCATCAAGGCAAGGAAATGGACAGCCAAAAGTCGAGCAAAGTGTAAAGACAGGACAGCGCACGCGCCGGCAATTTGTATAGCGGAGTGAGGGGGAATGGGACGCAGCAGCGCCAGCGACGGCAGTTATGTGTGTGTTACGTTGTGTGTTGTGTGCGATGCAGGAATTACATTAACTTGCTAACTTGCGGATTAGATCTATGCGTGCGTGCGTGCGTGCGCCGCGGCCTAGCGTCCTCTTTCAATGCGTGGGGAGGGTAGCGCGTCGGGATTCCAAAGCGTGGAGAGGAGGAACGAGGAAAAACGGAGGGATGGCGAGATCAGAGATCACGACGACTCCTCGTCCTTCCCCTCCCTCTCCCTACCCCTTTCCCTTTCCTCCAGCGTCCCCTCCAGCCCACTCTCCCCCTCGCCCTCCCGCTCCTCCCGTCCCTCATTTTCCGACTCCTCCGCAATCCCCAGACCAAGCGACAAAGCCTGCGGCGACACCGCAAGGCTCGAGCTCGTCGAGCTGCGGCGGCGCCCCGCCGTGGTGGGCGTGACGTTGTTCAGAGGCGACGACGTCGGGTTGAGGGAGGATGCGTTTATCGAGGGCGTCGAGGGCGTCGACGGGAGCGAGGGGATGCTCGATAGAGGGGACGGCGGGCCCATAAGGCCCGTACCCATTCCGTTTCCGGTGTTGTTGTTGTTGTTGTAGGACGACGACGACTGCTGGTGCATCCCGTTGTCGAAGCCGTACATAGGCTGCACGGCGAACGACATCGTGCTCGACCCGTTATACCCACCCGCCATCCCGCCGTAACTCGAATACTGCTGTTGCTGCTGCTGCTGCTGTTGTTGGTGCTGCTGCTGCATGACCATCCCGTGGTGCTGCTGCGGCAGACTCGCATGGCCCGCGAGCGGGGGCGACGAGAGCGGGGAGGCGCCGCCCGCGTGGTGGTACTGCTGCAGCTGCTGGTGGGCGTGGTGCGGGGAGTACGACGCGATGTCGTTGAGCGGCGCGTTCGGGAGGCGGATCATGCCCTGGGGGTTCGGCGAGCCGCCGATGGAGTGCGAGGAGGAGGACGAGGCGGAGGGCGAGGACGCGGAGGAGGAGTCGGAGAGCGGGGGGAGGGGCGAGGAGAGCGAGGAGAGCGAGGATTGCGAGAGGGAGGAGGAGAGCGATGGGGAGAGCGAGGAGAGGGACGGGTCGAGGATGGGGGGCGACTGCGAGTCCCGGGAGAGCGGGAAAGAGGGCACGGAGGGCGAGTTGAAGGACGTCGGGGGCGCAGAGGGCGAAGAGTACACTGACACTGCAAAGACGAAAAAACACAAGGTAGTTAGTTAGATAACGTTTTTTTGTAGTAAAAAAAATAAAGAGAAAAACGCACGATTGTCGTCCCAATCCGAAGCGCCTGATGCAGAAGAGGCGGAGGAGGAGACGGATGCGCGGCGGGGGACACCGTACTCCCTGGGCTCCTTCTTCACAGATGCGCCTTTCACTTTCGGACTCGCGCTCTCCTTCCTCCCCGCTCCCGCGACCGCCCCCTGCCCTCCTGCGACGCCCTGCCCCGCCTGCTGCTGGGCGGCACTCGAGTTCTTGCGGGCCTTGTTCCCCGCGCGCAGCTCGTCGAACCTGAGCGGGCGGGGGCGCAGGTGGGTGCGCTCGTAGAGGCCGCACTTGTTGCAGACGATCTTGCCGGGGTTGAGGGTGGAGCGGCGCCACGAGGGGGGCTCTGTGGTGTGGCAGTTGAAGCAGCGGCGGCGGAGGTACTGGGTTTCTTTTGAGGCGGCGTCGTCTGTGTGCTGGACGGGCATGGAGGAGTGGGGGAGGTAGGAGAGCGGCGGGGGCAGCGGCTGCTGCTGTTGGTGGTGGTGCAGGAGTGTCTGCTGTTGCTGCTGCTGCTGCTGCTGTTGTTGCTGGTGGTGGGCGGGGAGGGCGTGCTGGGGGAAGAAGGCCTGCTGGTTGTAGAGGGAGTGGGGGGCGAGGGACTGGGACTGGGAGGGGACGATGAGGTGGGGCTGGGTGGCGGACAAGTCCTCGTGCTTGACGGCGACGTCGGGGGCGGGCCACGACGAGGGCGGGTAGTAGGAGGCGGAGTCGGGGTAGAAGTTGTGCTGGGCGGGCTGGTGGTGGTGGAGGAAGGGCTGGGCGGAGGGGTAGAGGTGGATGTCCTCGCGGTCGTGGCGGACGTACGGGAACGTCGCGCGGCGGTAGACCATGCCCTGCTGCTGCTGCTGTTGTTGGTGTTGCTGGTGGTGGAGGGGCTCTGGGTAGGGCGAGTCTATGTCGGCGTCGTTGTAGAGCTCCTGGAGCAGCGAGGGCTGGAAGACGGCGAGGGCGTCGTGTTTGTGGTCCGTGCCATGGAGAAAGTGGAGGTCTGTCGGCGACGGGGTGCGCGGTGTGCTGCTTGTGCAATCCATCCTTGTCCAATCCTCCTCCTCGCAATCGATTATATATATCGCCTTTCCCATATTATATATATTTATATATTTATTATCCCCCATCTCGATCCAGCTAATCCACTATCCTCAGATCCAGCAGGACCCCGGGGAGCGCGCTACCCCTGAAACACATACGCTGCCCGTACCGCTGGCCTGGGTCGCGCCAAACAACCCAGCACAACCGCGGCTTCCACTCGCCATCTCAGATCCCCTGCCCTTGTCTAATCTCCCCCGTTCCCTCTGCTCCCGATGCGCGACCCACCTGCCATCCACAACCACCCAGCGGTCCCGCCTCCCGACCCCTTCCTTCCTTGCCATCACCACCATCTCCTCGAGTGCCCATATGTCCGTATTGCAAATACAATGTGCACTCTTTGCCTTGATCGTGTTTGGGACGGCCTGCAATACCGAGCATAACTGGGAACAGAGCCCGAGGCGAATTTGAAAATCGCTGCGTGGACATAGATCACGGAGCAGTGCGCAACGGGTCCGGCTTCCCCGCTCTATCTATACTCATACTCAACTCACACTCAAGTCTATATCCTATATCCAAGTCAGCTTCTCCATTCATTCAACCGTCAACGTCGTATTGGTGGTCGTGGGTGCGCTCGATATTGGATATCATGCATTATGCATAGGTTGCCTCGGTTCCTCGTCCTCATTCCGGTGTGTATTTCGTTGTATCTCTTCACCTACACAGTCTATCGAATATCGAATCAAGAATGAAGACATCGGGATACAGTACCCGTATCTGTGGTCTCGGGTTGAACGTTGGGTACGTTGGGTGCTTGGTGCTATGCTATCCTGTACAGCGCGATGCGATGATGCTACGCCGATGCTACGACGTAGCGCTCATACAGTCCTACAGTCATAATACGGCGCTGTGAGATACGAGATGGATTGGCGAGCGCCTGGTGAGCGCTGGGTGATAGGCTCTGCTGGTGGTAGATGCTCCCTCAATGTCAATGTCAATGTCAATCTCGGTCTCGGTCTATGCCAGCTGTGTAGCAGTCGCGAAGTATGTACGCAGTAGCAGTAGGAGTGTGCAATATATCGTGGACTCAGTATTATACCGCGCACGTAGTATGTAAATAATTACGGGTCCACGGCACGGCGGACTAAATATTCTTCAAAATTTCAAAATTCCAAGAAGTCAGAGATTCAGCGATTCAATATTCAGAGATTTCCGTGGACTCCAATTACCCTCCGTACCAATTACAGTGCCCTCCGCAAACGCGTAAACCGTGATCATGAGTAATCCCGCAATCCCGTAATCCCGTCGGTATGCTATGACAACGCGTACGCGCACGCGTATATATAAGCAGGAAGCAGGAAGCGCTTAAGCAGTAGGTGGAAGATGCGGTAATGGACGGACGCGCCTGCCGCCAGGGTCGCTATATTCGTGGTGAATATTCGTGGTGAATGGTGAGAGAGTGGGAGGGGAGGTCACACGCCCACGAATCTTTGAAGGCCAATATCGCGCTACGTATATGTGTATGCCTTTTCTTATATAGATGTGCAAGTCAAATTTCTGGATTTCTGGATTCCTGGATTTCTGGATGACCAAGTGAGAAGTGAGAAGTGAGAAGTGAGAGGTAGGAAGTGGTATATCGATAAATCGATAAAGATTCAATATTAAATATTAAATAACCAAGTCTCTGGAATCCGGAATCCAGGTGGCGGGACGGGGAGACGGGGAACGGGGCGAGCAAGCGTCGGTCGCGGGGGACAAGTCACAAGTGAGCTCACCTGCATAACGTATGGCGTATAACGTATAACAAGAACGAAGAACGAAGAACAAAGAACAAAGAACGAAGAACGAAGAACGAAGAACGAAGAACGGAGGACGAAGACATACCTCCATTGCCCGGCATTTCCGAAAGTATACCAGGGATTCCCGTACCTCCAATATATACTTCCCTACGCGTAGAATGGACGCGCCCCCCCGTCATACCTGTAACACCTGACATACCGTATAGCACAAAGTTCGAACGGCACCTGTCGTCGTCTTCGTCGTCGCCGTCTTGTCGCAGCCCAGGGGTCTGAAGCGCTGGCGTGGCGCTCCAAATCCTCACATAATCCTGACTCAGACGCCCGAACTGTTACGCGCACTCCAACGCACTTCGCGCTTCGCTCCGAGCTTGCACAGGCTGCTATGGTATGGTATGGTTGGGTATATGGGTGTATGGGTGTATGGTATGGGTGTACTGGGCGTATGGTGGTGTCCGTGGTTGCACCTTAATAGGACGTACCAACACGATAATAGGAAAGGAGAGGAGGAGAGGAGTAGGAGAGGGGGAGGGGAGGGAGGATGCGTACCGCGTCTGCGAGCGCGTCGGCGGTCTCCTCGGAGGAACCGTTGTACTGTTATATTACGCGTATACGCGTTTGTGTGGCAAGGACACGAACGGTGCGCACGCGCCGCGCAGCCGCCCGCCAGGTCCACCCCCAAAATAGCCGAACATCCAAATCCAAATCCACAATCCCACAATCCCAAATCCCCCTTTATGCAGCCCTTGCAGCCCTGCCTCCCGACGCGACCCTGACCGACGACCACCGAGCCACCGACCCTCCCTGCCTCCTGCCCCTTAAGCTTCCTCCGCCTGAGGCCTGAGTAATGAGGGGTTTACGTACGCGGAGGCTTCCATGACAAATACGGAAGAGGGAAGAGAGGGAGACATAGTGGCGATCGGGGCCTTCCTGACCTGCGTGGACCTGAAGGCCTGCGCAGGAAGGGAGGGTCGTAGCCTGTAGGAGAGTAGTAGGAGAGTGGAAGTGGAAAGTGGAAGTGGGAGTAGAATGGGAGAGTAGGAGGGAAAGAGGTAGGGCACGCGTAGTGCGCACTGCGCACTGCGAGAACGAAGAAAGAAGAAGAAAGAAGATGGGAGGGTCAGAGTCAGAGGGGGACTGCGCACTGGAGAAAGCAGGTAGAAAGCAGTTGACGTTGAGGGCCTCGAAGAGCTGAGGCTTGTGGCCTTGCGAGCTCGAGGGTGGGGCGGTTAGCGGTTAGCGGTGTGGGTGAAAGGAGGCGCGCGCGAGGCCTCGAGGCGTGCGGAGAAGGTCAACATAGTCATCAGGAAGGTCAACACGGTGATGCTAATGAGGGGATCGGGAGGGTGAGGAAGAACTTAAGGGAGAAGGGAGGGTCGGGCTAGTGGGCTCGCGGAGGTAGAATTGAGCAGAGGGGACGGGAATGGGCGGACGCGGACGGCGGGCCTGAATATTCGATTATTCGATTGTTTCGAAGCCTGCGATTGCCCGTGTTGGAGGGTTGGGTTGGAGGGTCGGAGGGTTGGAGGGTTGGAGGGCGTCCACGGAGAAGTCCACGGAGAAGTTCTTGTAAAATCACCATCCCAAATTTATGTACATAATTCTCATGATATTCTTTTGGAATATGGAAAATAAGACACGCGCACGGCACGCGCACGCGGCGGTACGGGATCTGCAGAGTGTTTGATGTTTATTAGTCGTTGAGGATACTCGTTGGGGTTTTGGATTCTTGACTTAAGAGGATAGGGTGGGTGAGCGTTTGAACTATTGAGCCGGCGGTGCGTTTATGTTTGTATTACGAACGCTAACGATAACGTTTGTGCATGAATGCATGATGCATGAACGTTTGAACGGTTGAACATGTGAACGGTTGAACGCGTAAGGTCTCTGCGTAGGGTTACGCGACGCGACGCGTTGACTCACTCTCACGCGGACGTATGAATAGGCACTGGGTCTCGAGGCTCAGCGCTCAGGCGTCGATCCCTCCCTCCATATCAAGTCACATAGATCATAGATATCGATCAACGTCAACCCACTTCACTTCTCCCCACACCCCATGCACGTTCTACACTCCACTATACCCATGCCTATCACCATGTCAAAAAACATACGACCTTAATATTAATATTAATCCTAAGGCCTAAGCGCTAAGCGACGAAGAGGCCCACTTCAACCGCGACTCTACTCTGGAGCCAAAGCATTAAACATTAAATATTAAGCATTAAGTAGGAGTATGAAGCAGTGTGGCAGGTTGCAGCCGACGTCGGCCGTGCCCGAGCGTCCAACGTCCAACGTCCAAGCGTTCGATTCTACACTCAGCACTTAGTACTTAACACTCAGCACTTGGCACTCAGCGGCCCACCTACTCGTAAGTACATGCTCGTCAAAGAAACTCGTCGAAAAGAAAATGTCTCGTCTACGGCTCTCGGCTCTCGGCTCCCATGCCATTATGCCATTATACCAGGCGGGAGTTATTGTCATTGAGCGTACGCGGGAGTGGGACAGCAGTGGGGGTTATAGAGTGGGAGCAATTAGCTATAGAGAGTGGAGCCCGGACTTATTTCGAGAATTTTTGTGGGACTAGAATCTCGAATACTAGAATGGGCCGTGTAGGAATTGTTTTCCTTTTCTTCTTCTTCTTCTTTTTCTTTTTCTTTTTGACTGTCAGCGCCAGGCACCTCTAAATTCTCCTCGCTTAGCGCTTAGCGCTTAGCACTTGTGCGCAGTCTGCAGATAGGTCGTGGTGCGCGGTCCAACGGCTTCCAACGGGTGCTTTAATAATATGCCATGTTGGCGAATTCCGTATGTCAGGCGCGGGTACATGGAATGCAGGAAGGAATAAGGGGAATAATGGAATGCAGGCAGGAATAAGGGGAACATGGACAGGTCGCAATCGCAGTTTATAATTTATAAGGAAGTGTCCATGCGCGTGCGGCGTGGGTCTTCGTTTTCTTCGTTTTCTTCGTAGAAACTCAAACCCGTATGCAATATATGTCATGGTCATATGTACATAGTGGTGGGAGGTTTTATAATGACAGATTAGGTGGTTTAGGTGGTTAGGTGGTTAGGTGGTTAGGTTGTTAGGTGGGTAGGTGGTTAGGTGGCGCTGACATATCGTGACATATCGCGTCTACGCGCGTTCGCTATCAACGTTCAACTGTTCGATGTTCGGAATCCTTCCTCTGAATACTTTCTCCTTCCTCCTTTCT